ACACGCAACATAGGCATAACCCCAAATCCTGGCTCCGGGAGGATGGAGTGAGTAGGAGGCTCGCTCCGCACCCCGCGCCCCGCGTTCCCGCCCTAAATCACCCGTCTATTCTGTGCCCAGGAGAATGCTGTCTAGAATGCTGTCCGTCGGGGTCAGGGAAGCACAGCCTTGTCAGGTCAGCGGGTCTCGAAGTCAGTCCCCTCAGCTCCGTGTCTCTGGCAAGCTACCTACGTCGCTGGGGCTGTGTCCTCCTTTGCGGGGTGAGGATGGTAACCCCAGGCACTTGGGGGGGGGCTGAACCCTCCCCTCACCAGGCCCTCACCTCTACCCGGCATTGCAGGCACTGGGGGGCTTCAGTCACAGCCCTGGGAAGTCTCTTATGTCTCCAAAGGATTCGAAGGATCAGAGAGGTTCGGTAACCTGTCCGAGGCCACACAGCAATTCCACGTTTTATACTTTACTAATTTCCAGAGCGCGTGGACCTGGATGGGTTCTTTGTTTTGCTATACGGCGCCTTCACTTCCCGGAGAGAAACCCGAGAGAGCGAGGAGAAAAGTGAGGAATTACCCCCTGGGGCACGGCCACACCTCAGCCCCTTCTCCTCCATTCTCCTCTCGGGGTTTTGGGCATGCACGCACACGTGCCCGGCGTGGTTTTCGAGCTGCTGGGTCTTGGACAAAAGCGCGCAGTCGGCCATGTGGGATCCAGCTGCCTTCATTGCCAGGCCGCCTGGCCAGCCCCGATGGTTGTGGGGGAGTTGAGGAGGGGACAGAAACTGAGGACGGGGTTAGGCAGAGCTGTGCCTAGCCAGTGGGCTTCCGCACCGGGGTGGCAACGGGTGTGGGCAGGAGTGTGCATCCCCGGCGCACTGAAGGGCAGGGTCCACGGCTAAAGGCCACGTTGACATCCCTGCTCGCCCTCCCTGTGGGCCTGTCTCCTCGAACCCCAGGGCACGAGGGAAACACGACACTTGCTTTCTGGCAGGACAGCCAGGAGGTGAAACGCCAGGCTGCCAAGCTAGTTCCCTGGCCGTCCTGGGCCAGGACTTCTTTCCGACCTGCCCTGCAGGAGAGCCGAGGCTGCTGATTCGGGAGGGTAAACTGAGTCAGGGCTGCTGTGCAGGGTGGGCGGAGCTCCCTGGCCGGGAAGGCCACCGGGCGGGGGCGGTCCGGTCTCCAGCGTTCCATGGGAAGCCCACACAGCAGCGGGACCTGCCAGTACTGCCCCAGTCTCCTCCGTAAGGCCGGTGCTGAGGCTTGAGGAAGGAGGGCTTATATCCCGGGGTCGTTAGAGCACCGGCCCTGGGTGCCACCTCACCCTGAACCCACCCAGGCCCTCCCTCAGGCCTTTCCCACCTCCTGGCTGTCACTTCCCCTCTGGGGACCTCCCGGATTTCCCCTCAAAGCCAAATTATTGTTACAAAAGCCAATTCAACTCGTTTGGGTGTTGAAAGGCGCTTTTAATATGTTGTGTAAAGAGGTTATAAAGTGTGTGTGTGTGGGGGGAGAAGGCTTTGAAGTCAAAGGGCAGACTGGGTAGATTTCCCCAGGAAGAATGAATGATAAATAACAATAAATCTTCATAATCAACAGGATTAGACGTTAGCACGAAGGTAAACAGATCGCGGACTCAGGCAGCCGCGGAATGAGCGCTCCGAAAACGACAGCTAAAGGCAGCGCGAGCGCTCCGACCCGAGGCAGGAGGGGGAAACTGAGGCCGCAGCCCCGCTCCCCTGCAGGCAGCCTGGCACCGGCCAGCCCTGCTCCGTGCCTCCTGTGCGGCGGGAGCCCGCCGGGCGGGTCAGGCTGTTGTCACCGCTCGTCCCCTCCTCCCCCTCCCCCGTCCCCGCCGGACCTCTCCCACGAAAAGTGGGAAAAACGGGCAGGGAAAAAAGTTTGGGCCGGGCCAACACCTCCCCTCTCCCCCCCTCGGCCCCTCCCGAGCCACGCAGACCTCTGCGGGAGCGGCCCGCGGGGCACAGGGTCCGGCCCGGTCCCCGTCCCGCCCAGTGGCCCGCAGCTGGGTGGGGGAGCTCGGAAGGCCTGGAAAACAGCCGCGCTCCCCGCCCCTCACCAACCCCTTCCTTTGGGGGCCCCGGGAGCCCGGGCCCCAGCAGCCCCTGCCAAGCCCGCCCCCGGGTCTCTCGCGCAGCGGGGCAAACTGAGGCCCAGGGAGGGCCGGCGCCGGGCCTGGGGTCCCCACCCCCTCACCCCGCCAAGCACCCCCAGCAGCCCCGGCAGCGCGACCCACGCCCGCGTCGGTCCTCGCAGTGCGCACCGCGCTCCCCGCCCCCGCTGCCACCCTGCCACGCCCCAGGCGTCGGGGGCAAAGCCCGCGCCCCCCCGCAGCCCGCCCGGCGCAGAGGCTGGGGG